AATAATGCTACTGCAATTTTGTACATTTTTAGTTAATCCATGATATATTATCATGTACTTAGTGTAACATTGATAACAATACAATATTTACTTTATAACTAATTACTTATATTTGAAAAATTATATGTACAGAGAATTTATAATAGCATTACTATTTTCAATTTAAACATCTATATTACAACTAATTATAATAAAATTTTGTATGTCATGAAAAATTATTTTAAATACATTCCAGGTAAAGCAATAATATCAATAAATATTCCTGAAAATAATTGCAGATATTCTAAAATAGATTTTAAGATAAGGTTGGAATGACCGTCAAATAGCGACATTAACTATATGAAACATTACGCGATAACTAGAAACAGTAATCATTAAAGAAATTTATTACTTTTTGCATATACAGTATTTTTTTACTATAATTAGATAAACAGGTAAGATTTCATGTTTAACATTTATTATGTTACTAATATAATTTATTAGTAACAATTTCATGTTTTGAAGTCTTTCAAGTATTATTGAATTATAATTTAATTATTATAATTTGTAAATGTTTTTGCGGAATATTCACTGCATATTTTTTATAGACCTACTAATTAATTAACTTTAACAATTAAATTGTTCATAAACACAACAAGGCATAAGCCAACATTTCTAGAGGAGGTGAAAAAAGGGTTTCTTTATAGACGTTTGGGGCCGAATTGTTCGAGTTTCTTTTAAATATTATATTTATTCAGACACAAATTTAACAATTGCAATTCAAAAGATTTTTAAAATAAATTTTAAACTTAATAACGTTAACAGATTTTCGATATCGTCAACTACAGTTTTTAAAAAGGCATCAACGAGTAATATTTAAAAATATAGTTGATCGTGGTACTATTAATAAAAGTTAATAATGACAATAGCATAATTCGCAATTACATAATATATTATTTAATTATTGTAGTTAGTGTGTCAAACTACTCTTATCTGCTATTCTTTAAAATGACAACAATGAAATCTCGGCTGGTGATTTTTAGTTGTTCGATGTGTTAAATTAGGTGAATTATGTTAATAAGAAGAAAAGTATTTTTGAATTATAAAAGAGTGTTTATTTCTAAGAAATATTATCTAATGTTTGGTTTAATAATAAACTACTTTAATATTAAAACGTCCCATAAGATCAATGTAAATTTTGACATTTTTGGTGTTTTAAACGTAACAACCCTGACAGTCAATAGGTTTATATATTTTAAATAGGGTTTTTTTTATTGTAAATAGTGTGTTATTTTTTATATGGTAAGTATTTAGCCACCAAGTTTGATTTGTCTTTTCTACCGTTCANCCATATACAAAAAACACGGTATAAGCCACCAAGTTTGATTTGTCTTTTCTACCGTTCAGATCATAATCAAAACAATGCAATTAAAGTATGAATGAAATGTGCTCAGTAAAACAGTATAATTTTTGCATGGTTTAAAAAATACAAGAGTTATTAATTTAATTTCATAAATGTTCTAAAGAAGATAATTTACAAATGGTTAACGTACAATTTCATTAAGATCCTTTTTTTTGAATTTTAATAACAAACTAAAAATATATTTTTTTAGATCAAATTTAGGATGACATAAAATTTTTGTTGAAGGTATCAAGAATCCTTGTTAATATTTTTTTGGTGCTAGCAGGACGCGAAAACAATTTTTGACTCATGAATACCGTTATTAAATATTCATGGAAACCGATTAAATAGTGGTTAATAATATGTGTGTATATTTAAAACATTACTCGAATTTTCTAGAATAATATATTAAAATTTTGATAGTTACATAGTACATATCAGAGACAGGAAGGAACGTAAAAAAACAGTTCTTTAACTGGAACCTTTAAATTTTTTAACATTATTTATATATAATGTCTACTTAAGATATTAATTGGAAATAAGGAAAATCAGTTAAACTTAATAGTTAATTTTTTATATTTTCTTAACTATTACTTTTGAGTTTGTAATAACCAAAAGAAAGACTGATAGGGTTAAGGTTATATTGGGAATATTAAGGGTTAAAGATTATTACTTAATAAATGTAATTAGTGTGTTAAAACTACCTTTAACTGATATTCACTGATGGTAATAGATTCTCGATTGTTGACTTGTAGTTGTTAAGCGTTTTTCAAAATTATAGTAGGTAAGTTAATAAAAGTGAATTGTATAAACGTATATATTTTTAAGAGTTAGTTATTTTAACAAATGTACGTTTTAAACTTAATGAGAAAAGACTATATAGACACAGTATAAAGAATACACTACAGTATGTAGGGAATAATCTTAAAGAGTTACTTGTTAAAAGAGATTGTTGAGTGAGAAAAATAGACAAATGAGTGAGAGAAAAAACAGGGTACTCAGCCACTATATAATGTACCACGAACGGCATAAACAGGGATTGGGCGTTTCGAATGTGTCATGCATTTTTATGGACACATTCAGTCGCCAATCTGTACTCCAATTAAGATAAAAACAGTTATTTTAATTAATTTTCCTTATTTAATACTTTTGTGGTGCCTTGAAGACCCCGAGAGAGACAATGAGCCATGGCTACTTTATAGTGGCCAAGGCCAGAATTAAATGAGTAATAGTGTTAGGGTATTCTTTTCTACAGTCTGAGAAATAAGAGGTATTGATTTTTCATATTTCAGAGGAGAATATTACAAGTTATACTTAAATTTATTGAAGGTAGAAAACAAGATTTTGTTAAAGACTACAATAAACGACAAACCAAAATTTACTGTTTAATATTTTTGATTTTTATATTGGTTTAATATTTATGAGTATGAATGTAAATAATAATATAATAAAAGATGAGAATTTTTGAAGTAAAATAAAAATAATAAATATAGTTTAAAAAAACTAAAAAAACACGCTTTTTAAGCACATCGAACTAAAAAGTTTAAAATAAGCTTAAAACAATAATGAACAAAAAATACAAATATTATTGTGATAAAAGCGTCGGGCGCTCAATATACGAAAATGATAAAGAATAATCAGGTATAAGTTTACATTTCAGAATTAATTTTGAATAAATTATCCATAACATTCATTTTATAAATTTTTAACACGCTTATATTAGTTTCACTTGTATGTTGTGTGTTTGTTTGTAAATCTCCACCAGCCACGTGTTATTATACTCCCGTACCCCGTCGTCTATGGCCTTGAGACTAGACGTCGTAACGCATTCACCCCACCCTACTCATCACTGGCCGATAACAATATTTTCCTGTAAAATTTTATTTTTGGTTTTCGTACCCGTACAACACGCGTGCCTGTCATTAATACCTAGTGCATGATACGTTTACGCACTTATGTCGCCTTACTAAACATGTATACTATATACTGTATATTATGTATACTATACATGTACTATACTGTCCTGCTAAGCAAAAACAGGATAACTCCAAAATTAAAAAAAAAAATTTTTTTGTTTCTATAGGTAAATTTAGTGGTTTTACACCAATTTTTTATTTAAAAATAGTATATTTTTTATTAAAACCCATCTAAAATTGAAATATAAAATAAGAAATTATACGGTAAGTTCAATATATTTGATGTTTTGTAAGCGAAAACACGGTAAATCCAAATACTAAGCAAAAACTTGGTATATCACATAAAAAATAATGGAGTTACCGTCTTTTGACTTATGTTCATACATTGGGAAAAAAGGGTATCTTGATTTACTGTTAAAAATGTTTTTTTGTGTTCCTGAAAAATCATGTTGACTGGAGTTATCCTGTTTTCGCTTAGCACGGCAGTATATATGTATGCATGTATGTGTGTGTATATATATTCCTACACACGCCGTGTATGCCTCGCATACAACGTTACCCCGCGCCTCGCCCGCCCACAAAACACAGCTATACCTCGTGCATGATACGTTTACGTAATTACGTCGCTTTACATGTATATATATTCTAATTACTATTAAAAATATATATTAACACTCTTTATTATCATTAAGAGATATAGAGTGTATTCATTTCGATTACAAAGGATGATTCCCGTATCGCCAGTTTTCGTCACTATCTCCATGTTCCGGGAGTGGGTAATTTACGCGCCTGCTGCTTTCCTTGCATGAGGTAGTCGTTTCTCAGACTTCCTCCCCGGAATCGAACCCTAATTTCTTGTTACCCGTTACAACCATGATATTGTTAGTAACTACTATAATAACATGAAACTAAAAAGTGAAAAATAAATATAATTTAAAAATACTAAAAAAACACGCTTTTAAACTATATTTATTCAATTTGACTTTTAAATATTTTGGGTGGATATGTCCGAGACTTTGTGATTGACATATTTATACATCATACATTTACATTTACACAAGAGTTAAAAATGAATGCGAATGAATGTCTCCTTAACCATAAATTAATGGTATCACCCCTCCCCTTTTTTATACGCCTTATAGAAACTAATATTTTACAACGTACTGGAAAGACATTTGAATCTTATATTTGCTATTTTCTGAGACTTTTATAAATTGTATTTTAATTTTAAGGATTTTAATTAATATTAACAATTTGGATGGAACCTTTATTTTTCGGACCCGGACACTTCGCCGCGGACTGGCGGACCGGTAGCAACTGCTAGTGGTACTCAGGATAATTATCCTAACCCCAAATTTTGGATAGCTTATTACTCCGTGGCTATTGGTCGTATTAAATTATAATTTAATTATTATACACACATAGAAATATCGGTGTTGTTTTAACAATAAATAGGGGCGTTGAAACTAAAATGTCAAGTTTATAGTTATTTCCATTTATTCTGACATTTTTAGGTAGTCACCATAAATACAAACTATTTGATAAGTACAAAAGGAAATATGATCCCAAAAAAAATTTAATGTAAACATGAATATTAAATTGTTATTGTAATATAAATACTATACAGGGTGTTCAGTAAATAAGGAAACGAATTTCTATTATACTCATTGTTTGTAACAATTTAACTGTTTCCTAACTTACTGAACACTCTGTATGTCAATATATAATATTAGAACTGTTTTATTTAAACACTATTATTAATTGAGATACTAACTGAACTAGTGTTAAATCAAAATGTTTTGATTTTATTAGACGGAATGTTGTTATAAAATAACTTTTAGTAATTAAGTTAAAATAATTTAACCATGTTAACTTTGCCATTGTTATAAGTTATGTTGAACATTTAATGAATATTAGTTAAGCATTAGAAATATTTAGTTCTAATACAATCATTGTTATATCAAAACGCTTGTTGATATTCCAATTAAAATATTACAAAAGGTTATTTTTAGAAGGTCGAATAAGCGATAATCACTGATAATAAATATTCACCTGACAAAACATCACCGTAAACATAATATTACATATTTTCTTACCTAGAATTTTAAATTAATTTAAATTTAAAATCATGATTTCCTATTTTGTTTGCTTTGTTAATTTGGGACGTAATCATATAAGTTTAAGTATTATAATTTTTAAAATATGGTAATACAGTAGTTTCACTTCAGTCATGAAAATAAATACTAACTTTATTAAGATTCTTATATATCTATAATTTGTACATTTTTTAAATTATAGTATTCAACTATTGTTTTTAGTTGTTTTGGCTGTTACACGTTTATACTAAATACTAATAGATGATTTTTTAAATAATTATAGTTATTTAATTATAATTAATTTGGATGGATTTATCAATGTAGAGAGTGTTTTAAATAGTAATGATATTGTAAATGTGCAAACTAATTCAAATAAATTTTCCTCATTTTCATCTCTAACTGAATCAAATTCCAAGTATGGAACATATAAACCAATAGAATGGACTTTGTAGGTAATATACTAAATAAAATTGTATTCTTTAAGTTATAAAATAATATGTATTACTTTTAGTCTATTATGAGCTTGCTGCATTCAACTAATGACGGTCGTTTTATTTTGACTGACTCAAAAGTAAATTATAAAAATTTATTTGTTTATGCTCAAAATACACTTACGAGACTTTTAATAAATTATTTCTTTAAAGACAAAGCTTGGTAATATACAATATATTATTTTAAATATTTATTATAAATTAAAAATGTTTGAGTGTAAGTTAAAATAGTTTAAGTGCATAAAAACTTATTGTTCCTAGATACAATAATCATAGACCATTAGTTTTATACTAAATTAATATTTCTATTGATTAAACTTATGTTATTTAAATATTTGTTTTGGGAACTGATTTTTATTTTCAGAAAAATTTCTTCAATTATCATTTAAATATTTCTAAAATAACAAGAGGTAGAATATAGGTTTAAAACTATTATACTAATTTATATTATTTTCAAAAAATTATCATATTCAATTAATAATAATAATAAATGCAAATAAATACATTTTTCAAATACCCATCAATAAATTTAATAATTACAGCACTTTTTCAAACTAGAAAACTTTTTTTTAAATAGTTATGGTGTCTCACTGTGACCAGACTTTAGGCATATTGCCATAAGATATAGATTAAAATAAGTAAAAAATAAATATAGTTTAAAAAACTAAAAAAACACGCTTTTAAAGCACATCGAACTAAAAAGTTAAAAATAATTTTTAAAATAAGTTTAAAATAATTATGAAAAAAAATACTAGTATTATTGTGATAAAAGCGTGGGGCGCTCAATATACGAAAAATATGGCACAAAGCACCCACGCTTTTATCACAATAATACTAGTATTTTTTGTTCATAATTATTTTAAAAATTATTTTTAACTTTTTAGTTCGATGTACTTTAAAAGCGTGTTTTTTTAGTTTTTTAAACTATATTTATTTTTTACTTTTTAGTTTCATGTTATGATAGTAGTTACTATCAATATCATGGTTGTTACGGGTAACGGGAAATCAGGGTTCGATTCTGGGGAGGGAGTCTGAGAAACGGCTACCACATCCAAGGAAAGCAGCAGGCGCGTAAATTACTCACTCCCGGAACGTGGAGGTAGTGACGAAAAATGACGATACGGAAATCATCCCTCGTAATCGGAATGAATACTTTATATCTCTTAATTAGAATAAATCGTGTTAATATATTAATTTTAATAGTAATTAGAATATATATATTTATACAAATAATGCGACTTAACTACGTAAAAGTATCATGCACTAAGTATAGCTGTGTTTTATGGCCGGGCGGGTCGGACTAACGTTATACCCGAGGTATAAACGGCGGTAGGAATATATATATATATACGTAAGGCGCATTAGACGCGGGCGTTATTGGTCAGTCAAAATAAAAATTTGTTTACATATATATAATATTGATGACAAGCACGCGTGTACGGGTACGATAACTAAAAATAAATTTTTATAGGAATAGTGTACCATCGTGTGGTGAGCGAGGCGTGGGGAGGGGTGAATGCGTATAACAGTCTAGTCTAGACAACGGAATATGCGATAACGCGTGGCGTTTGAAGAGTTACAAACATACATACATACATACATACATACATACAGGTGAAACTAATATAAGCGTGTTAAAAAATAGGTTATTGTACCTATTTGATATTTGAATTTCTTACCCTTTTAATAACCAATGTATTTTAAATAAAAATAGATTATATTATTTTTAAATTTAACAAATAAGTTCAAAATTAAAAAATTTGTGTGTATAATAGTTTTTAATACATGTTATCTCTGCATTCTTTTATTTACTGATAGGTATTTTTTATATTTGAATTTCAATACTATTAATAATATATATTAATAAAAAAAACAGGATTATACATGCTTTTGAACATAAAAAATTAAAAATGAATTTTAATATTACTATTTTTATCTTATAGAAAGTATATTTTATACCATCAAGTCAAAATAATTTCATGCAAAAGAAAAATTAGTAGAACGTTGAGAAAATTTTAAATTGTAGCCTATTTTATGTTGTCCTAAAGGATATAATCTGATAAGGAAAAAAAATAATTTATATTAGTCTATATGCATTTTTTTTTTGTAATATAGTAATCAATGCATATTTAATATTAAAATTAAAATTTAGGTAATATTTCTATCAAACCGTCAACAACTTTTTTTATTTATTATTTTCAATTATGATACTGGTAAAAACTATAAAAAAAAGCAATATTTTGTGTCTACTTACTATTTAATTTTTTGATACTTATAATATTTAAATTCATTTTTATTTAGATACTAGAACAAGCAACACATTGAAAACTACTGATTCCATATCTAGTATTAACTAAAACTCAAATGAAAACAAACAAAAAATCTGGGAAATCATCGTTAGTTGAATGTACTTCAGATTTTGTTATAAATTTTTCAGTAGGTTATTAATATAAATATATGAAATAGATGCACACCTTTAAGTTCATAATTAATTAAGTATATTAGTTTTTTATGGACTTAAAATTGTATCACATTTATATGTTGTGTTGAAATTATTTATATAAATATTCATTTTCAGAATTTAAATGATTCAGAATTCAAAATAATTTACCTGACTCAACTCCAACTATTAAATAAATTTTGGGTAATGGTAAAATGTATGAGACTCTTAAATATATTTTATAGTTGTATTTTTAAAAAATTATAACTTGTTTATTAATAATATACAGTTTGTCATTAACATAGTTTTATTGTAATTAATTTGTGAATGTATTTGTACTTACAATTTAAAGAAAGTAAATGATTCCATTATGTTATGTCATAATCTATATATTTTAAAATATCTTTACTATCCTAATCCAACTTATTATTATCTAATAAAGTTTCCATTTCTATTTTAACTAAATGGATATTTCTATATTAGTATTTCTATGTAAAATTGAGTTTATGGATATTTGATCATTTTGTCTTTGATACCATTCAGAATTAAACAAAATAAGTATGTGTTAAGTGTTGATAATGGTAACATTGTTTCCGAAATACGTATCTGTGATCTTTTATAAATAAGTTATTGTTGTTTCAAGCGAAATGTGTTTATCTTTAAATAAGATTAAAATAATGAAAAAAGATAATATGTTAGGTAGGTTCGTGGGATCCGTTTCCTGTAGTATTTCTGAGGTGTACTTAGTTTCGGAAGGATCGGCCCAAAAATGAGCAAAATCCTTGGGAAGGGATTTTGCGCCCTTCTAGTAATAGCGTACTACTTAAGAGACTTAAAACTAAAATTGCTACCGCAAATTCGGTGCTCTACGACCAATAGCCACCGAGTAATAAGCTATCCAAAATTCGAGGTTAGGATAATTATTCTTGGGGTAACTTGCCTGTGTAATAACTAAAAATAAAGTTGATGGGGATGATATTGTATTAATAAAGAAGAATGATAATGGCATCATCTGTAAAGACATAATAGATACAAGTACTTTGTTTCTAGTTATTATTTTATTAGTGTAGTTAGTGTATTAAAACTACTCTTACCTGATATTCACTGATGGTGATAGAATCTTGATTATAGACTTATGGTTGTTAAAATTATAGTAGGTATGTTAATGAATGAGAATTATATATGGTTAATAAAAGCATATTTATTACTATGGAAAGTGTTAATTATTTTAACAAATGTATAGTTTAGATTTAGTGACAATAAGTTATTGATTATAAACACACAGTATAAAGAATACACTTGAGTACGTATGGAATAATCTTAAAGTGTCTAACTTGATAAAATAGATTATTAAGTGAGAAAAAGAGACAAGAAAAATGAGCGAGTGACTGACGGGAAAAACAGTGTCTTCAGCCTTTATATAATATACCACTAAAGTCATAAACGGGGATTGGGCGTCTTGAATGTGTTATACATTTTATAGACACATTCAGCCATCATTCTATATTTCAATAAACGCAGAGTTATTGTATTTAAATTTCCTTTTTTAGTACTTTAGTGGTGCCTCGAAGACGGCATGAAAGACAATGACTCACGTCTACTTTATAGTTGCCAAAAGTCAAAATTATATTCGTAATAGTGTTAACGTATCCTTTTCTGTGGTTTGAGAAAGAAAAGAGGTATTGATTTTATTAATATTCCAGAGGAGAATATTATACCTGAATACCACTAGTCAGTTTCTACCGGTCCGACCCGATTTACACAGTTAATGAGTGCACTCATTTTTATTAATTTTTCTATATGTTTAGTTTAGGTATAATTCATTCACTCGTTAACTCAACTTTTTATCGTTATTAAAATAATCTGTACTTAATAAATTAGTTTACGAATATCACACTTCTATCTTGAAATATAATATTATTTTATATTTAAAATATTCAAAATACTACTGGGTAGCCTAATAAAGTTCGTTTTAAAATACACGATTACAACTATTACAAGAATAAATTAAAGTAATTAATATGTATCTTCCCTCGTTCCCCGTAAAAGGGGGAAACCTCCAAAAAAATTACAATTTTAAAAATCGCTAATTTTCGAAATTTTTTCAATTTTTTTTACTTAAAAGTGTCATAACTTTTTCAAAAATGAACATATCAATATAATTCTTTTTTATATAGATGCATGATGTCTTTACCTTTCATTTGGTATATTTTTTTCATAAATTTAACCCTTAACCTGCCCACAAGGGGGGATTTAAAATGACAACTTTTTCACAAAAAATTAATTTTTTTAACTTAAATTTTGAAAATGTTCCGGAAGGTCTGACACTTTTATATATATCTTAAATTAAAGCTAATGTAATATGCTTTATCATGAAAAAAAAAAATTTCGGACTTTATCTTATCTTCATGGTGAAAATGGCTACCGAATGCTATTTTTGTGTGAAAATTTTCGATTTTGTATTTTCCATTTTTAACTTTATTATGCTATAACTTTTTGAAAAATGTATGAATCATTACAATTTTTTTATGAGAAGTAGTATTTATATAGATCTTTCATTCGACATACTGTTTTTTTAAATCGGACCATTTCCCGAAAAAAAGGGGGGATTCAAAACATAAAAATGCATATAGAAAGTAGAACTTTTTCAACGTAACTTTTGAAAGTGTTCCGGAAGGTCTGACACTTTTATATATATCTTAAATTAAAGCTAATGTAATATACTTTATCATGGAAAAAAAAAATTTCGGCCTTTATTTTATCTTCAAGGTGAAAATGACTACCAAATGCTATTATTGTGTGAAAATTCTCAATTTTATTTTTTACATTTTTAACATTATAATGCTATAACTTATTGAAAAGTGTATNTTACATTTTTAACTTTATAATGCTATGACATATTGAAAAGTGTATGGATCAACATTATTTTTTTATGAGAAATAATATTTTTTAATAATCCCTTTTTCATTCTACATACTTTAGCTTAATTAGGATATTAATAATGAACTAGCAGATATTGTAGCTTTTGGAATAGTCCACCAATTTTTTAAAATTAAACAGTATCTAAAGATTTGCATCGAAGCGTTTTTTTTTTGATAGTGATTTTAATCACTGTCAGATATCATTATACTTGATCCGACTATGCCACGTCACCACTGTGCCGCGACCCCCCTGTGCTGGGTTTTTTTATCATTATACTGGTTTATAAAGATTTGTGCAATAAAGGATTAGGCTAAAATAATTATAATTTTTCGAAAAGGGGCTAATAATAAATTTATCTATCAAGAGTCTGGCGACGAAATGTCCTAGACCCTTTATTTTTGTGAATCCGAAATCTATATTATTATGTTAAAAGAACTCGAACCGGAACCTGAAAAAAAACATGGTTTCAATCCCTGGTACATAGAAATCTAACCCAATCATCTAATTTTAAATTATGATTTAAATCAAACTCAATTATAAAAATGATCAGAATTATATGGTGTATAGTAGTTAATAGTATTGAGCAATGGTAAATGATCAATTGACCCCAAGTTTAGACGAATTTTATAGTCCATTGAATCTAACAGGAAGAAATATAGACATTTAGAATAACTGACAACTTGATATCTGTGTGTCTATTTTTGATTTTTATATTGGTGTCTAGTAATCTGTTTAGTATACTAAAACACGATATATTAGTGCAACTATTAGTGTGATACTAAAAAATCGTATTGTTTATACCGTTTTTTAATATAAGTATGCTTAAAAATATTTATTAGTGCACTAAAGTATTAGATCAACTTTTTAGAGTGGGTATCTACCACAATAATTATGATTATAGTACACTAATTCATTTTCTTATGAAAACGTATAACATTGGTGTATTTATAACGTTTTCAAATTAATTTAATGATACAAAAATGTAACATCTAATATGTATTATATTTAAGTTATAAATAACTTAGAAATTTTTGAAAAAGGTTAAGATAATGACCATACAACAATGATATTAAATATAGCAGAAAATCTGTTCATTAGTATGTCACAAAACAAATGTATAACTAACGTACATATATTTTCTAGTTACATTAATAAATTGTTATTTTTTGTAGTTTTGCTTGAAATAGCATTTGTACAAAAATTTAGACTAACAAAAGATGTTGTACTAATATGTTTAATTAATAAACTACGTCCATAAGAGCTAAAAGTATTTTTTCCCCAATTCAAAATATTTTAAAATAACTATATTATTTAGTACACAATTTTCTAAATTTTTAGAAATCAATTTGTCAACTGAGGAGCTGAGTCTTCTAGCTCTCTAGTTACACCTATGTATACTAGACTATTTTATAATATAAAATTACTCATTAATAATTTCATGAGGATTTTTTGCGGAAGCTAATATGATATAAACATGAAACTTTTCTTGTTTAAAATGTAATTATTAGTTTAGATGCAAAGCTAAGAAGGTTTGTGATAGTGTTTGTTTGTTTTTTATGACTATCCATAAAAATTCTCAGATCTCGCTAGACCGATTTTAATATTGTTGAACATAATGTCATCAAAAATTAGAAAAGACCGCTCAATTTTAAAAATTTTGAAAAATATCTCAAAATTACGTTATACTAAAAAAAATTGTATTTTGTCCAATAGTTTGGTTTAAAATTTCTGTTACATTTTGTAATAACAATTGAGTATCTTGCATAGTTAAAGATAATCCAAAGTTTTTGGTATTTAATTTAGAGTATTTATGAACAAAATCAATTAACAATAGACCTTTTTCACATTCCATTGTAAAAAATAACACGAACAATTAAATTAAAAATCCTAACGAATAAACAGTAACAGATTTTTCATGAGTAATTTTTAGCTTCGATGCGAAGCTGAGAAGGTATTGGTTTTACTAAGATGTGTTTATTATTTTTTTTTTTTTGTGTCTGTTACCACTTTTTCTCAGCTCTCACCGAACCAATTTCTTTCAATGATACGTCAAAAGATCACAAATTGTATCTAGTCGAAGACATTACCCTCAAAAATTGAAAAAAATGCCCTCGTTCCCCGTAAATGGGGGAAACCTCCAAAAAAATAACAAATTTAAAAATCGCTAATTTTCGAAATTTTTTCAATATTTTTTACTTAAAAGTGCCATAAATTTTTCAAAAATGAACATATCAATATAATTCTTTTTTATATAGATGTGTAATATCATTACCTTTTGTTTGGTATATTTTTTTCATAAATTTAACTCTTAACTTGCCCACAAGGGGGGATTTAAAATGACAACTTTTTCAACTTAACTTTTGAAAATGTTCCGGAAGGTCTGACACTTTTATATATATCTTAAATTAAAGCTAATGTAATATACTTTATAATGGTAAAAAAAAATTTCGGACTTTATTTTATCTTCATGGTGAAAACAGACATTAAAGTTTATAAAAAAAATACGATTTTTGTAAAAAAATTCTTTTTTATATTTTTAACTTTATAATGCTATAACTTTTTGAAAGATGTATGGATCAATATAATTTTTTTTTTATAGATGCATGATGTCTTTACCTATCATTTGGTATATATTTTTTTTATATCTGACCCTTTACCTGCCCACAGGGGGGGATTTAAAATGACAACTTTTTCACAAAAAATTTACTTTTTCAACTTAAATTTTGAAAGTGTTCCGGAAAGTCTGACACTTTTATATATATCTTAAATTAAAGCTAATGTAATTTACTTTATTATGCGAAAAAAAAATTTCGGACTTTATTTTATCTTCACGGTGAAAATGGCTACCGAATGCTATTATTGTGTGAAAATTCTCGATTTTATTTTTTACATTTTTAACTTTATAATGCTATGACATATTGAAAAGTGTATGGATCAACATTATTTTTTTATGAGAAATAATATTTTTTAATAATCCCTTTTTCATTCTACATACTTTAGCTTAATTAGGATATTAATAATGAACTAGCAGATATTGTAGCTTTTGGAATAGTCCACCAATTTTTTAAAATTAAACAGTATCTAAAGATTTGCATCGAAGAGTTTTTTTTTTATAGTGATTTTAATCACTGTCAGATATCATTATACTTGATCCATCTATCCACGTCACCACTGTGCCGCGAACCCCCTGTGCTGGATTTTTGTTATCATAAATTTTATTAAGTATCAATGATAAAATTAATATAAAATACAGTACAGCCAATATTATTTAACACATCACCCTAATAATTATTGGTTTAAAATGACATGAACAATTAGTGCAAGATTTTTTGACAGATAAAAAATAAAATTAAAATTACGAATTTCTATTAGTGCACTAAAATCATAATCTAATGTTATAGTGTGCTAAAATATTCATTAATAATTAGTCCAAGCTCAAAAATAGACCCCCCGAATACAAAAGTATCAGTTTTTTGAATGTTAAATTTATTGTATTTATTGTTTTAAATTACCTAATGAAATAGACAAAATTAACAAATGATCAATGGCAACGATTAGAGGGCTTGAGTACTCTAGTATTTCAGCATTCCCTTGGCCTGTATTAATTTTTTTTAACCAAATTTAAACCAGTTAACATGTATGATAAATATTAATAATAATCGTAACCATAAAATAATTCTAGATACTTATAAACCCGCTATATACGCATATTGAATGGATATAAGCTGGCGAGAACAGCTCGTACCGATGTATATTTATAATAAGAAAAAGGGAGGAAAAGCAAGCGTGATTTAGAGAATAGTGATTAAAATAAGAGATAGTTAGTGGTGCATCAATACATTATCCTAATTATTACTTAATTATTGCAGTTAATAAGGTAAAACTACTTTTACTTGATAACTTTTAATAGAAGTTATTGATCTACGATGAGTAGAGATGTCAGTCAGGTGTTCATTGTAGGTGGTTAATTAATAAGGGATTATTAATTTAAAATAATTGATATAAAGTCACAAAATCACGTATATTGTAAACGAAGTGTTAGTTATTTTAACAAAGATATATTCTAAAATAGTTATAATTTAATATTAATAATAAGACTCCATGTCATAAGTTGAGAGCTAGATAACCGCACAAAGATACACTGTAAAATAAAAAGAAAGAGCTAATCTGTTCATTTAAGTACAATCACAAGAGAAGAAATAATCAGACTGAATAAGCTTGTGACGGACCAGAGCCTATAGGACATTTGGCACTTTTATAGTAAATCATGGAATATAGTAATAAAATTTAATAGCATAATAAAAGTTATATAACTGTAAAGAGTGTCATTTGTGCCATACGGTGCAAGAAGTGTTTAGTATTGTATCTTTGTTTAGGATGTGTAAACTAATAACAATAAGCAATGTACTAGGTATTGTTAATTTTGTATGAAATTGTGTGAGCTCGGCAATTATTTGTGTAAACAACATATAAAAGATTACGCGTCACAGGGATGTCAGATGTAATAAAATTATTGTAACTCAATAAGTGCTAGTCCTATAATAGTTATTGATTTTTAATCATAAATTTTACATTTTTATTTTCAAAAATCAAGGTGAAAAGGTTAACTTCAGGCAAAAGTTTCTATTTCGAATCCCTTCTGAAGACAGATAAAGGATTAGATTTCTAAATAAAAATTATTTTGATTCATTCATTTAACAAAAAATATGGCATTTAAAGAAAGTAAAAAAAAGTTTAAAAAATGTCTTTAATTAGATACGATTTGTAATCTTTTGATATATTGTTCAGTAAAATCGATTTTGAAAGAGTTGAGAAAAAGTGGCGACAGTCATAAAAAAATATACATCAATGATATATATTTTTTATATTATATTACTATGATATAATAATAATAATAATACATTCTCAACTTCGCATTGGAGCTAAAATATTATTTTAACGTAGTCATCTAAAAATGTATAAATTACTAAAAAAAAAAAAGTAACGCAAAATATATAGTAAATCAAAAGTTAGTAGATTTACCAAAACATCGTGGACCATTCTGTATATGCTTTTCATGTCAAATACACGTGAAGTATATAAAAGGAAAAAAAAAAAGAAAATCATTTTTTCCTCCTATATTTATCAACATTTTTTGTGAAATAAATAACCTCATATAATAATCTTTTAAGGAAATGATAGTGTACCTAATGTACGTTGAAAAAATTGTACTGCCTATGGATGAGGGCGCCCGCTGAAGCCAATTTAAGCCCGTATTCCTAGTGATAAGTAATTTTCCTGTTAAATGTGACTGATGTAATTCAAAATCCTGAGCTATAATGAATATGATACACTCTTTAAATAATATTTGATTTTTTACCTAAATTTATTGAACATTTTTAACGCATATAATGTAAGGGAAAATTTGTATAAACAGTAATAAAAATGTTGTGTTCGAATGGTCAAAACTTCATGTTAAAATTACACTACTTATGTATAAAATTAACATTTATATTGAAAATATCATACTGACGTATGGTAACTTTTGGATCATTTCTTATAGTGTAAATATTATCATTTTTATTATGATATCGATAAAATGTAATTATTTTATAGAGTTGCGATTATAACTGATTATTGTCGGAGGGTAACTAATATGCTAACAAAAAATAATTATCCTGTAATAGAGTTGAGGAGCCCATAATCATATTTAAAATAGGTACATGAAACACCCTCAAGTTAAAACTAAGACCGACATTTTTTTTTTTTATATAGTAATTAAAAAATTTTAGTCTCTACTCGTAGATAGTAATATTAATTATAACATCCTTTATTACCGTCACCACTTTTTTTTTAATTTTTATAATAGAAAGTGTATTTAAAAAATAAATCAGTTAAATATTTTGCTGAAAAGAAATCCAAATAAAAAGTATTAATCCAGAACGTTTTATTTTTAAGTTGCTAAGTAGTGACCAACTTCCTTATTGAAACCAGCCAATATGATGCTGTGATGGTGTTTTTTATTTAGTCTACAATCTAATTCTGCGGTTTTTTTTTTTTTGAGTATGAGTAGCAAAAAGGTAATTAACTATTATCATTATTAATAATTTTTGCACAATATCTTAAACTATTAGTTTTAATTGGCCGAATAATAAAGTATTAATAACATTATTGTTGTATAATTTATGACATTCGAACCGAGAAAACCTGTATTTGTTGAGCTGAGTGTATGTGCGTTAGTGTGTTTCGGTAGTAGAAATTATATATGCACGGCTTTAATGTGCTCATGTATACTGTATACTGTATTTTTATACGTTCACGGACATTAGTTAAAGCTGTTTACGAAAACGATATGAAAATGGAGGTAACCAGCGAACCAGTCCGGCAGTCGATTAGTGCCTGGTGCAACAACGTGTTAACGATTAACCTTTGACAAGCGGCTTACGCGTTTCGCTCGTACAATTTTATATATTGCAAAAATTGTTGCATTTTTAATCTTAACCGAAGTATATTTTATTTCACTCCAGTGTACAGAAAATTATCCAATTCGTTTCTGGTAAAATCGCTCTTTCTACGACGATGGCGGCGTCTTTGGGGAGAAGCGCCGGCCGGATATTCGGTTTGACCGTCGCGATATCGCTTCTATTTTTATTTTTTGTTGAAGTTTCATCTCAATCTGAACAAATCCTAACGTTGTCTGGATCGCGATGCAGATGTATTTCGTTTTTATCATGCTCCGCTCTTGACACTTTGGAACCAGGGTAAATAATAGATAGTAACAATATTTTTATGTTATTAATAACATTTCTATCACAATAAACTTTTTAAATAATGCACTAATATAAAAATACTGAGATAATAATGCTCAAATAGCACTTACTTGAATTTTAAAATAATTTTTTAAGATTTATTTAAAATCTTAAATTTTTCTAAGTTGGGCATTTTTGTATGGTTATCATATTTAATTATATTTACTATCTGATAATTACATAATTAATTTGTATGAAAAATTGTAATCGTAAGATAGTTGGCATTTAAAATTATGTATTTTCTTAAATCAAAATTAACTATGTATTTAAGATTAATTTGTATTGCGATTATTTAGTTTTAATTTTAATCACTGTAAATTAACATCTTTTAAGAGTTGCAAAATGGTAGTATAATCAAATAATAGATAATCAAATTTATAATAAGCATTAAATTATAATAAAAAAATTGAAAAAATCTATTTAGGCAATAAATTTATTATGCAAAATTAATGATACCGTTATTATATATATATATATTATACTGAATACAAATTCAGTTATAAAAATATAGAGTGCATAGCTACTTGGTCATTTTTTTTAATTATAATGAAAAATATGTTAAATTTTTTTTTCCGTATTTAAGAGCCAATTATCTTAACAACAACAACAATTTCAACAAAAATTAAATTTAAAAATAATGTCGTAGAATTTACCAAAATAAATGTTTTTAAAAAACTCTTCAACTTTAATTTTTTTTAAAATTATTTTAGATTATTTCGGTAAGAAAATTGATTTTTTTTCACTGTTTTAACCAACAAACTCCGTCTGTTTTAATGAATCTATCCTCACATTATCGCCATAATTATGCACCCGTCAATTGAGCAATTCATTAATAATTTCACACTTTTTTATACAATATGAAATAGAATATATATATATTTGTACTAAAATGATCAACATTTTAATAAGAAATGCTAGGAAACAAGTTATATAAGAAAAATATTTATTTCCCTCTTTATTTAAAATTTTCAACCCTCCTGTGAAAATATTTTGAAAATAGGGCACTGTGAATACTGTTATGTGATTTAAAAAAATGTCCAATTATTTAAACTGCTTCACGAGGCCTGTTTAATAATGAGGTTAAAAGTTTTATTATAAAATACTTCCATATTTTACATATATTTTTTATTCACTGAAATTGATTACAGTTCGGGGGAGCGTGGTTGTTCTGATGACTTAGCTTGTTGTCGGTTACCAGATGATGACTCGTCGGGATCAATCGCCAATGAAAACTCATCACATAATTCTCATACTGAAAGTTACCAACCAAGTAATCATAACCAAAATGAATATGAAAACCAAAATAATAATCAACCACAAAATCAAAATCCTACTGAAAGTAATACAAATGGCAATAATCACAACAATGTTTGGATTAACGAATGTGGTGTTGGAATGCCATCACCTTATGCAAATAATTTAAGAATTGCAGGGCCTACAGGTATGCTATTTGATATTTGTGCATGGGTTTTGTAGTTTGGATTTGTTTTTGACAGATAAATTGGATTTTTAATTTTTTTTTTTATACTGTCAGAAATTTAAAACTATACAAAAAAAATAATTTAATCGTAAATACAAGTATTATGTTTTGTTCGATATTAGTTTTATAATTTATAGATAAATCAACTACATACTTCGGACAATTCCCTTGGATGGTTGCTTTGCTAAAAGTTGATATAAATAAGAACGAAAGAGTAGAAAACGTATTTCAATGTGGTGGAACATTAATTCATCCAAAAGTTGTTTTGACAGCTGCTCATTGTTTAAAGTAATAATATTTTTTAAACAGTTATTTATTTTTTGTAAAAAATAATTACTTCTATAAAATGGGTAAAATTATTACACTATAGTCATTAGAGATTCATTAATGGGGCGGTTTGTCATTAGCGCAGTTGAAGTCTGGGGACTTCATCCTTCATAGAATCATTCATATCATAAAAGAATTTCAATTCTTTTTCAGGGGTTAATTTGCAAGAGAAACTTTTACCGTCAAGTATTTTATTCAAATGAAATAGAATATAATCCTTACAGGCAATTTTTTTAAGCTACGCTCATTTGGGTTGTCTGCTGAACGATTAAATTATAAGTAGTTGAAATTAATTATAATATAATTAAATGTATATTCTCTATACATTTTACAAAGCCTTAAAAATTTTATAATTGATAGGGATCATCTAATACAATTATAATTTCATGATTTCAAGAAACCATGACTATAAGTTTAAATTTAAACCCTTACAATAGTATAGCTATATTTTGTTAGACAGGTTAAATTCTATTTTTTTCTAGTGGACAAAACCTGGAGCTAATGAAAATCCGAGCTGGTGAATGGGACACGCAAAATAGCGAAACCGAATCTGAAAATTATCATGCACATCAAGAACGACAAATTCATAAGGCATACATGCATTCAGAGTTCACTAACGGATCATTATTTAATGATCTGGCCCTTCTCGAGCTCGATTCTCCTGTTGAACTGGATGGATACATAAACATTATTTGCCTTCCTGAGTCATCCTCGGACTTTAACCCTCAATCTTGTGTATCTACAGGTTGGGGTAAAAACGGCTACGGTCAGTAACACCATACGCAGTGTGCTTTAATAAACACAATTTTATTAATTTATAATAATACAGGACAATTGGGTCAGTACCAACATTTCCTTAAAAAGGTAGAATTGACTATAATGACGAATGATATATGCCAGCAACAATTGCGAGCGACTCGTCTTGGTCAGTTCTTCCGATTGCATAACAGTTTTATATGTGCGATTGGTGCTAAAGGAGAAGATGTATGCAAAGTAAGTTTTCGATTTTTTTTTTTAAATACAAAAATACATATTTAAAAAAAAAGTATATTTCCAAAAACAACTCTTTGTAGTTTATGGCATACATTTTTGTATATATATAGCTTTATGAATTTAGTTTAGAGATGTATCACAAATTTATCATAATATAAACTGTCAATTATAGTTCAATATTCGATTATATCATCTTATTATTCATTATTTTATTTCTAACATCATGAGAGCTCATTTCGTAGCTTCTATGACTGTTATCTATCAAATAGAAATATAAGGTGGCCTGTGTAGTTTGTTTGAGAATGTGTGTGCCTCGGTATGGAGGTATCGCGGTTTGATACCGTACTGCCGAACTGTGCAGGTTTTCTCGTTCTCTCGTACAAAAAATGTTTCTTAATTGAATGACGTTAATTTTAAAACAATAAAGCAATAATAAATAAAACGTACAAATTTAAATCTCATTTTACAGGGAGATGGCGGTGGACCATTGTTATGTGCTAAGAAAAACTCACCTGAAAAGTATATACAAGTTGGTGTTGTAGCTTGGGGTATTGGCTGTGGGGATGAAAAAGTACCAGGCGTTTATGCTTCGATCTTATCTAACTTAAAGTGGATAAAAGAAAAATTAAAACTGGCTACAGAAAATTAACAACTTATAATTTATTCTTAATTTTATGATGTGACATATTTCTATTATACATAATTAAATAAAATAAAAAATATATTTAAAACATGTAATGAAAAAATGAAGTGTTTTGTTTTATAACATCTTGTCTAATAATCTGTTGATAAAATAAAACTTTGAAAGTTATCTTCAGATTTTTTCAACTACATTTTCTAATAAATAAATAATTATTAGTGTTTTTTTACAAGCTTAGGTGGAGTATGAAAAAAAAAGGTGGCAGTTAATTTTATTTTTTGGTGCTAACCTTTACCTAAAAGTAGTTGAAATATTATATTTCATTTAATTTTCTTGAAATATTGGAAGCTAGCTCCCCAATGCTCTCTAAACTACACGTATATTGAAATAGTAGAAATATAAATTTATCACACCTAAATTTGATAAAAGTTTGCTAATAATTGTATCAAGTATAAACATGCTCAAGAGAAAATAAATATTCTTTGTTTATTTATTATTTAGTTTGTGGAGATATATTTAATATATGATGGCGGTATTCAATAAAAAACTAGTCAATTAACATGTTTTGAAACACCGTTAGATTTCGTATCAGATTTCAGGATGGAAGCAGTAAAAATGCAAAATCGTAAAAATATTATTTTTAAGTTTGGAAACTACTGTAACATTATGGTAATTTTGAATTAATACCGGTTTCAGTTATACTGTACTATAAATATAATGTATACAACACATTGGAAATAATACTTAAATTATGAACCATTATGTTCATCGGTTTTTTGTGTAATTATTATAGCAATCAAATTGAAGGTTTAGAAATATATTTAACCATTTTTATCATTATAAATAATCATTAAAAATTTACCTAGAAGACTTGAACATTTTTGAAAATACGTATGTAGATACAAATTACCAAAAAATGTATCTTTGCGAAGAGGGAAATAGTAAATATTTACATGAAATAGCAGTATTTATTTTATTTGTTTATTGACTTAATGCGTGTTTTCTTAAATTAAAACCATAAACTTCTATTTTCTAACTTAGATAATTCCCAAGCCTTAGATTATTATCTTAAAAAGCTAATATTACTTCACTATTTCTAATTTTAATTTGCAATTATCTAAGTTTTCAAAATTAAGGAAATATTACAAACAATAAATATCTTCTTCCTTACCTTTTGAAAAAAATAATTTAGATTAATTATCAGCATAAGCGTTAAAAACAATTTGGGGTTAGGGCTGTTTTCTAAAATTTAAATCATAATAGTAACTTGAAATTTAATACATTTTACTTTTATAAAGTACCTTTATACATTTTTATCTGTTAAAAGAAGAACTAATTATACAAATAGTAAAGAGTATATTTATTGTAAAGTTTTAATTATAACTTTATCAAGTTAGATTCTCTTCATTGAAATCAACTTTTCTTTTGAAGTAGGGTTTTTTGTGACGTCAAAAAGTGTACGTATATTAACAACTGTACGTTGTACCTTACCTGATAATTATCATTCAAACTGATATGTTTATGTAAATTATATTGTGAAACGATATTTTGTACAGGCTTTCCCAATAATATAATTACATTAAATCATTTCAATTTACTTAATTGGCATATTCAAAAATACTTGAAAAAAAAAATAACATGTCTGTCGCTTTGATATTGGAGTTATTGACGTTACAATATATAATTGACTTTTAATATTTATTTAATTTAACAAACGTATATTCAAGTGTTTTATACAAAATATTAAAACCATAATACATTGTATGTTATTTCTAGATAACTGTCAATGATTGTAGGCATTTTTTAAATTAAAAAAATAATACATACTTAATTTATTTTACTTCTTATTATTCATTTTATCATAGTGAAAAATCAATTATTTTACTAACACTGTAGTGTTTTTTTTCAATTTAATGGCCTAATTAATTATTTTATTTTTTAACTGCGCATTTCAACGTGATAATACACTTATAACTATTTCGTAATTATTAATGAAAAATTGTACCTACACATGTATCTGAGAAACAACTTGGAGTCAGACAAGTGATTTTAAGTGTTTATTGAATTTTCAATAACAATAACGATTAAAAAAACATCAATCACTGTTTTATAATTGATCTCATGAGTCAATATTATTTTTTATCAATTTCATAAAATTCTTGTATTAGGAACATATTCAGAAATTAGCTTTGAAGTGCAAGAACGGATCTAAAATTTTTCTAGAGATTGCTAAAAAAAATTTTTTGTTCGAACACAAATCTAATCGATTTTTTTGTCTTAATGGTCATTTTTTGGCTCATAATTTTTTCGGTAGCCGAAAGAGTTATGTGCCCAATAGTATGGAAATTCGATACAATCAACTTGTCCCAATGATTTTGTTGCTGCACCATAGTATCACTAGATTCCTGTCTGCTAAAGCGCTATTGTTTCCCGTCTTCTCTTTGATATGTGAACTGAAAAAAATGTTATAAATAAACCATTAAAATGCATTGGATAGGTTATATTCTAAAATTTTTATTAAAAAATATAACCAATTTAAATTGTTATGAATTAACAAAAATGCAACCATGAAAAATTATGTTTCTCAGTATGGTCATTTCCACTTATCTTTAAAATAAAAATAATGGTTTAAGTATTATTCTAAGGAGATGAGCATATGAAAATATTCTTTACATCACTAAATGAAAAAAAAGTTGTATTTAATCATGTAACTAAAGACGTTCCGTAAAAGACCACTCCCTTTGACAATCTTTTATAATTTTTCAGTTGAAAGTTTTTCCATATCTGGCATTGCAATGTATTATAAAATCAATACTTCTTGTATTTCTTAGACCACATAAAAGAATACACTAACACAATAATACATTTGATTCTAGTTTTTGCAATATTACTAGTATATGGTAGACATGGGTCACTGTTATTCTTTGCGTCTTCGAGGCACCATTAATGTTCTAAAAAAGAAAATAATAGTAAAAACTGTTGGTTGGACTATGAAATAATACTACATGTCTCTATCAAAATGTATGACACATTCAAGACGCCCAATCCCCGTATGTGCCGTTCGTAACACATTATATAAGGGCTGAAGATCCAGTTTTTTCTCTTACACTTACTTTTCTCTTTCTATTTTTCACGTTATTGTCTCAGACTATTCTCTATTACAATATGCTCTAGTGTATTCTTTGTGTGTGTCTTTATTGTCTTGAACTTAATTTTTTTCACATAGTTTAAAACTCACTATTGTTAAAATAACTAATATCTTAGAAATAAACATACTTTTATAGTTTAGAAGTACCTTTAATTTTATTAATACATTTTTTTTAATTTTAAACAAACGCTTTGAACAACTTCAAATCACCAGCCGATATTCTATTATCATTATTTCAGAGAATATCAGGTAAGAGTAGTTTTAAGACACTAATTACGTATAATAATTAATAATCAATATCTACATCCCTCTTTATAAATCATGCTCTTAAAATTCTATGTCTCTCGCTTTGAATGTTTTTCTTTTGGATATTACAAATAGCGCTTAACTAGTGGCTCTTAACCCACGACAAATTAAAGGAACTTCATACCATCATTTATACCTTTATTTACTCACATATACTGAATAAATGACGGAATTATTTAAGTATGCAGTGATTAATGTCTTAAAACGTATGATAATACTAGTTTTACAACAATCGACAAACAGAAACATATTAAATATTCAACATTTCATGATCTATTTATCCGATATTCTCTGGTTGTCCTCTCTAATACTTAACAAAAGTATAAATAACACATATATGATTGAAAGATTTTTAAAAGCCTTCATAAATCAACATGGAGAATTTCCAATATCTGAAAGTAACATACTTACACAACTAACTATAATACTTCAAATTTTATTCCAAATTCTTCAAAACAAGCAGCCATTATTATACTAAAAAAGTTGCGTAGTAACACAAGTAAATTACTTTGGATATTACATAGTGCAGGGTTATATGAACTTGATTAATTAACATTGACATAATAACGTTCAGTCGTTAAATACGACTTAATAAACAATTTTATTGGTATCAAAATAATGTATCTTTTAACTTTTATACTATTATAAGTATAAATTATAGTAAAGTGAAAACATGGACTTGCCGCAATGCCTATTTTTTCATTGTATAAAACATTACAGCGGTTAGTCATTGGCATAATATTAGGTGAAAAGAGTAGCAGATGTTTATTTTAGGGAAACTAATTGAATTCTAGTAGGACTTTCAATATAATAATGGTATAATTCACGATAAGATTATTTGTTAGTATTAAAAAACAGATCGATTTACTACTATAGTAGAGTTTTTTGCGACTTGCAAGATACAATATTTTTATTTATTTTTATATTTACTTGAAAATATACAATATAACGATTGTACAAGAGTTATATTAATAGTCGCTAATAATCAAAATAAATTTCGTCAGCAATCGAAATAAAAGAATTAATTGAAAAATTAAGTAGTTCTTAGTTTTGACAGTAAATTGACCAAAAATAATTAAATAATTAAGTTAAAACTTGAGAAGTGGATATATTTTTATGAATCTCTATATAAAGTATAATAAAAATTAGATGTAAAAATAGAACATTCTTCTTGTATTAAACTAAGAAAGGTTTTTTTTCATTTAAAACATTTAAAAAAAGTTTACACTCATTTTAAATTAAGTTTTTCTTTTAACTATTATGTACGATGCGCTATTTTAAATGGGACACCATATCAATATTGAGTCATTCTCCTGGATAACCCAGTTTTTTCATGAGCTATGCATAAAAAAATTCTTTTGTATCTCCTCTAGGAAAGAAAACAATATTTTTACTATATAATTATTTTGATCGTGGAGGGTTTTATTTTCTAGGGAAATGTCCAAAATGTCACAGATAAGTAATTTTCAGGAAATCATAAAAATATTTCTGTTTTTTCAATTGAAAATATTGACAGTTTTGCAATGGCGGCGTAGCCAAGGAAAGCTAAAGGAGCAATAGCCTTATTGTCTAATTATTTCTATTGACAGTATATGACTTTGGTCATAGTAAGAATATGTAATAAGAAAAAAAAAGGTCTTTAATATATATCCCAAACAAAATTTCTGTCTACATCACTACAGTTCTGCTTTTGAAACTTTTTCTAAAAATTAAAAGTAGTTATTTAACTTAAATTTCTCTACACTATATTGGCATATATAGATAAATCATTTTAAGTTAGAAAAAATTGTTTTAGAATTTTTAGCACTTAAATCACCATTCCTCCATTATCAATATACCAAATTACATATATTGATAGAAAATAGTTTTATTTTAAATCTATTTGAAAATTTATTTTCTTAATTTTTAAAATTTTATTTTCACGACTAAAATTGATTTTTTACTGTTTTAGAAATTACATTTAAATTACCAGATATAGCGCAGCCGAGTATTAGTGTAGATATGCACAGAAAATTTAAAATGGGTCAAATGCCCAAATTTCCCCCCACCCTAAATGTCTGTAAATAATTTAATTTTAAATAACTTTAAATACAAATACACGTATGTGAATAATTATTTATAATTATTAACATTGATTTCTGTATTTCTGCAGAAATACAGAAATCAATTATATTTTAGCAACATAGATTAAGTTTTGTAGAATGTCAATAAAAAATGAATGTTAAATTAATTAAAAATGAATAACTTGTTTTACTTGAAAAGTTTATATAAATGGTGGTATATTATAATAAAAAAAAAATATTTTTTCTACCATTAGCCTTATATTGTGTACAATTGAAAACATTAGTAACAAATTCCTCTTCTTGTACACACATAAAATTGACCTTGAACTTTAAAATTAATAATTCTACCTTATTTAAGAAGAGCACATGCAGTATCATGTAGCCTTATAGTTTTTTTTTAAATAGTTAAAAATTAAATTTACTTATATTGGCCATTTTAAAATAGCTTAACATATACCAATGTTGTCCCACTTCGTTTTTATCCAAGGTCCACTTATTTCCCAGTATAAGTTTTGCGCAATATTTATCGCTGGTTTTTCTAGTTTACTTAACGTTTTCTGCGGGTTAACGGGGGGGAGTTAATTTAGTTAAATTAAAATTCATCAACATTTGTACTATTAACAACCATCATTGATACACTAACAGCGTGAAATGTATATTAACACTAGGGCTTCATTTCTGGATTCATTCGCTCGATGACCTTTTTTTTTTAATTTATTTTCTTATCACCCAAAGACCCATATGTTTGTGTTTTATTTAATGTACTTACAAGTGTGATAAATTATTTTTATTTATGTATTGAGATCTACCTGTTAATTGAATACGTGCAATGTATTTCTAGGGTCTCAAGTAGGAGAAAAAAGTTGTTTTTATCGCTATATTATCTAAAATTAAACGTTAATACATGCAAAATTGGTGGGGAGTGAAAAAAACTTAGAGTTATGTACCTGTGTGGTGGGAATTTTTTTCATGTACGTTTACACGTACGAGAACTGACCAACGTCGTTCCCCTTCCAATTAGAATAAACATTTATGCTTGCGAGATAGTCTCCGTTATATCCAAACTTCTCAGCAGTCTACTGATCGGTGTTTTTCCGTCATTCTGATCATTATCAATTTTTTTATTGTTGTCATTAAAACTTTTTCGACTGTCCTATTTATGTTCAGAATAATATCGCAAAGTGTAGCTTAGTAACGTCTCGCCCGCGCTTAACTAAACCTGTTGTGCCCGCTGTCATCATGGGTCCAGTCCTAAGTCAACCGACATTGTCATTACCGGTGAGTGTTGGCCGCAACTGACATGCGACAACAACAATATTAATTATAATCAAAAGCTGTTTAACGATAATAGTTATCAATGTAATATGATCTCGTCGCGGCTTAGTTTGTTTTTTTGTATAACAGAATTTTTGAAAAATCTATTAATTTACATTTATTATTTATTTAAAAAATTTCTGTGCAAAGACAATTGAATATTAATTAAATAATCTATTAAATATTGGCGAATAAATTTCTATGGTTGATAAGGAAGAAAATTATTGTAGTACTTAAATTACAATTGTTTTCATTAAATTACTCTAAATATTTGGGATTTATAAATCATTCTATAAAACCATTGATTATAAATTTACAATTTATAATCAATGATAAAATTATGGTGGTCTAATAGGTTAGTAGTTATTTATAGCGACTAGTAGATCCATAAAACTTAGTTGTATAATATTAATAATAATTTTTATTGTATTTATTATTTTTAATTTTATCAATGGTATGAATAATAATATTATAGTAGTTAAAATAAAAAAACAATTAGAGATATTAGAAATATTAGAAAAATTTAACGCGATAAGAATGTTTAGGGGCTTTTCTATTTAATGGAATTTCTAGAGCATTTTTTTTTTTTGGCATAATTATATTACGTATTATTTTAAAATAAAAAGTATTTTTGGGTTCATACTTTCAACCTTATTAGTAAATTTATGTGTAAAAGTATTTTGCCTCCGGCTATCAATTTAATTGTTAGGATTTTGAACACATTGTTCTTAAATAAAAAATTATAATGTAAGAAATATATAGTAAAATGATGAGAGACAATTGCAATTTTAACCCAACAAATCGAAGTACAATTTTCGAAATCATATTTTATAAACTAAAAATAAGGCGTAAGATAAAACCCTCAAACCTAAAGTAATGGGATTTTTATTATAAATCAATTTGTTCAACTTTCAAGCTAAAAAGTACACATGTTAAAAGAAATGTGTATTTAATTTGTTATTATATGAAAAAGTATTGTTCTCAACATTATAACAATTAGATCAAGATATGCAATAAAGCTATTATTTTTCTATAAGGAAATTGGACAATAATTTTAATAAAATATTCCAACGTTTAACTACTTATTATTTGTCACTCCAAAAACTATTGCATGTTTAATTGCATTTACAAAGATTTATACAGGAATCTTATCTACTAATACTACGTAATAAAATGAAATTCACCATTTTCTGTAAAAAAAATTTAAAATAGACCGAACTTATTTTTTCGCCCACCTTAGTCATAGTAAAATATTTTCTACCTAAATGTAATTTGTCATCATTGTTTTTATTTGAAACATTATAATGATTTCAAAAACTCTTAAATAAAAAGGATTCCAAGTTCAAATGATTCAACTGTTTTAAAATTCGAACATTTTTAAAAATTAAAATGTTTTTTAATATTAAATTGTTCTGACAAAAAATAAATATATTATTGACCGAAGAGCCAAGTAATTATAAGTAGTTTCCATGACAACAACGACAGAGTTTTATAAGGAAAAGATGTTTTCATCATTTTCATCATTGTTAAGAATAATGTAAAAAACTCTAATCCTTACTCTTTAAACACTGTATAATATTAAACAATAGAATTTTTTTTTTTTAATAAATATTAATAAGCTACGTTTAAGAAAATAAATAAAAATTCTTAAGAGGATGATACATAGTAATTTTTTATCCTAGAAAAATTAAACAATTAAAACAATTAGTTTTAATTTTTATTTCTGTTAAAGACCAAAAAACTTATGAATGATATAAGATCTATGATTAAAGCAATAATACCAGTTTTTAAAAATTCTTTAATTCAATTTTTAAAAGAAATAGTGTAACTGAGCTTGTAAGACAATAAGACTCAATGTGGCTTGACACTATGCTAGGTCAAAAACTGATCAAAGGCGTTTCTTTGTCAAGATATTATTCCAGTTAATTTATAATTAGAGTTAACATAAGTATTCTTGTCGACGAACTAACTTAACAGTTTTTAAATTTGGGAAAATCGCCCTAAAATGAAAGCAATGATGGCTCTTAAATGATTTTTTTTTTGTTCTAGATTTGTTTAATTAAATTTTTCTCTCCTCTGAAAACCAATGTTAGTTCTTGAATTTTGGTCGTAGATAAAAGGTTATCCTTTTTTGCTTATCAATTTGTTTTTTTTAACCAATTAATAAAATTTAACAGTTTAATCAAAAAATGATCACCAAAACTAATTAAAAATTTTGCTTCCTAACAAAAAATGTTTGTGATGGTTGTATTCTACTAATACTTACAACTAAATACAAAAAATTTAAAATCTGATAAAAAGATTTAAGTTTAAGGATTTTAGTAATAAGTTCTTGGAGTTTTTATTTATATAGGTTTCACATTTTTTAATGCGTTTTAACTCTACAACTGGCCTTTTAAGGTATATTCCAATTTTATGTTTAATGTGAAGCCGATAAGGTATTTTATCTTGGATATGACTTATTTGCTCAATATTTAATATATTTAATGATTTTTTTGTAATTTCATTTGAAAAAAATGATAACTTTTTATTATAAGACGTACGAATTTCATTTTAAAACGATTAATTTTTAGTAAAAAAATTAATTGTTAATTTAACGTGTCCAATTTGTATTGTTTAGTGTTTATTATTTTTATTATGGTATCCGAGTAAATTGATCGACATATAAAGGATATCAAACCCGTATAAAAATAATAAACAACAATGCAGAAAAAATTGAACAGCTAATATCTAATTCAACTAAAAGTGGAATGCGGGTTCATTTTGTTTAATTATAATATAAATAACTAACAAAATAAAAATTGTATTAGTTACTTATCTATAATTATTATAGATAGTAAGCTGCATTCAAATTAGTTTTCCTAATCAATGCAGCATAAAATGTGAACTAAAAAAAAATAGGGGCCTATAATGATAATATTTTTTAAAGGATTCTTAAAATAATGTTTAGCCAAAATTATAAAACTATTCGTATAAAATTATCTGTCTAATGGCAAATTCGCGATTTTCTATGGGGGCGTATATTTAAAAAAATGTTGATTATATTTTTTTTTTCGTGTCGATTGTTTTTAAATAAAAGATACGTATTATGATTGGTAGTTTTATTCATAAATAAGTGAAACTTGAATCAAGGGAACGCCTCTGGTTTTTTACTGTAAACTACGAAAAGACGCAATACAGCAGCCAAATGGTTAGATAAAAGGCTTCTAGCTTACTCAATAGTTTTACTGCGAGACCCGTGGAATAATTCCGCGTTCTCTGTTTCAATTGTTCTATCAGATGTTTAATTATCATAAAAACGAAAAATAAAACATCGTTTATTGCAAAAAGAAATTATTAGAGTAACTAAAATTTAATATTAAGAGATTATTATTTGAATTACTATCTATTACTATACTATTACAACTGTTAACAGTATTCTAGTTAAAGTTATTATTTAGACATAGTTAAATTTTATTTTAGATAATAAATTTAAAATAGCACAGCTAAGAAATATATATTTATATTTCTAGTTTTTTGTTTTACTGTTAATCACGTCAACAGTACTTCAATCAAAATTCACTCTAGCGCAAATCGATACACAATCTGAAGTTACAACTCCTATAAATTTGCAAGAACTTATTGATGAAGTATTTTATCCACCTCCAGAATCATCATCATTATCACCTAATAATGATTTTGATTCTACAACTGAACAAGGACAGTGTACATGTGTACCATATTATTTATGCACAAACAATCAGACAATTAATACAGATGGTACAGGATTAATTGACATAAGGTTCGTTAAAATTATAATATATACAGAGCGAGATTTTATGGGGTTTAAGACAAAATAATTTATTATTATAAAAATGTATAAGGCAATGAGAAAAAAAAAGTAAAAACTGAGCATGGGTTCAAATTAAATTTGTATAGTTATATAAAAATTAAAAAAAACCAACGATAGCGCAGTGGGGTCGTGACACAGTATGGATGTAGGATAGTTGGAACACGTATAGATGATATCTGACAGCGATTAAAATCACTATCATAAGAATCGCTTCGACGAAATCTGTAGATAGTGTTTACAAAAGCAATTGAATGATTTTAATTGTCTATCTAGAAAAAGGTGGTTAAGCAACTTTTTATTTCTTAAAGGAGATTTTCTTTTCAATTTTTAAGGGTATTATCTATAATTAAATACGAATTGTAATAATTTGATGTATCGTTAAAAAAATTATTCAAGTGAGAGCTGAGAAAATAAATGACAGCTACAAAAAAAACCATATAGTAAAATAATTTTAATATAAATAAATTTATTTTCGTGAGGGAAAACTACAGTGATGAGTATTTGATATTCCTTGAAGTTATTGAATCTAAATGAAATAAAAATCAAATAAGTTAAATATTTAGCTAGAGGGAAAAAGCTAAAATTCATTCAAAAATTTTATTTGAAAATCGTGGATAATTACATGAAACTTGGTTAATAAACTGTAAAAAATTAATATTAATATGATAAATATAATATTTTTTACATTAATATTTACAAGGACTCTAATTTATTTTACAAATATTCATAGCTACAAATCTTTTTACATATTTCATCTATATACACAATGCTTCATTTTACACTAACAACTCCATTTTTCTTAAAATAATAATTATGTTAAGAAAATATTTTTTTGTATTATACAGTATCATATATTTCTCGATTTATCATTTATTTATTACTTTTTTAATACATCTCTTATATCTAAAAAGGATGCCATCTTTATATTTTTAGATGGCAACATACATATTTAACTAGCTTATAAAATAGGAAATTATCTAATTAAGAAAATTACTAATCGATTTTTGAGTATGTCGATTTTTAATTAAATCATTTTTAGCATAAATACATAGCAGAAAGGTATTGGTTTTACCATGATGTGTTTTGATGTTTGTCCGTGAGAATTTTCAGTTTTCCCTTAATCGATTTTATTGATTTATGTTTCAAAAGAACTCAATTTTGATCAAGTTGGACTTATTTTCAACGAAAATTTAAAAAATGTCTATTATAGAATTTTAAAAAATATTTCAAAATTACTCTATCGTAATTATATGGCATTTTCAAACAAATTTTTTTATATTTTAAAATTGTTATAATTTAAAAAAAATACAATAATCCATATGAAAAATTAATACAATATATTAGTTACAAAAAGTTATATTTTAGTTTGTTTTTAATGAAAATCCAATGATAAACCTAAGTACTTAATGGGTTTGAAAAAGACCACTTAGAGATGTAAATTTATTTTTTTCAACTCAGTTTTTAAAAATGTTCCAGAACGCCAGCTCTATTTTATACTATATTAAATTAAGGATTTCGAAATTCACATCAACATTAAAAAAGAATCCTACGGTTGTTCTATTAGAAATCAGTCACAAAGTTAAACATGCATAATTTTTTCCAAAAAACAAATTACTTTATATTTATTTTTGAAAATATTTTAGCAAGCGTCCTTAAGGTATTATGTAGGAAATAACTATTTACATATTTCAAGTAGACAAATTTCGAAAAATTAATTTAATTTTGACGCCTTTTGGATAATGTAATATTGGAGTTTACATACACAAATAAAAAAATATCATCATTGTACTTGAAATTTAGGTTATTTGGATAAAACGAATTACAGAGCGTGCTTGTATTAAAAAAAGTTGTAATTAAAAAAAAAAACGGTAGCACAGTGGGGTCGCGGCATAGTAGAGACATTGCATAGTTGGGTTCAGTCTAGATTTAATCTGACAGTGATTAAAATCACTATCATAAGAAACGCTTCGATGCAAATCTGTAGATAGTGNAATATATTAGTTACAAAAAGTTATATTTTAGTTTGTTTTTAATGAAAATCCAATGATAAACCTAAGTACTTAATGGGTTTGAAAAAGACCACTTAGAGATGTAAATTTATTTTTTTCAACTCAGTTTTTAAAAATGTTCCAGAACGCCAGCTCTATTTTATACTATATTAAATTAAGGATTTCGAAATTCACATCAACATTAAAAAAGAATCCTACGGTTGTTCTATTAGAAATCAGTCACAAAGTTAAACATGCATAATTTTTTCCAAAAAACAAATTACTTTATATTTATTTTTGAAAATATTTTAGCAAGCGTCCTTAAGGTATTATGTAGGAAATAACTATTTACATATTTCAAGTAGACAAATTTCGAAAAATTAATTTAATTTTGACGCCTTTTGGATAATGTAATATTGGAGTTTACATACACAAATAAAAAAATATCATCATTGTACTTGAAATTTAGGTTATTTGGATAAAACAAAGCTAGTAAATGTAGATGACGACTATTCAAATCATACAAAATGAGTATAATAATAGCTTTGTAATTTGTTTACTAAATTAACTCAATTGTATTAAATTTTTTATAAAATTTTAATATTTATAAATATGAATTATAATTAACAAGGTATGATACTTTAATTAAATTATAATAGATTTTTATTGAGAGTCTTAATAAAAACATTTTATATAAAATATTGCAATTTTTTTATTAATTTATAGTACGCCAAAAAAAAGGAGATTCAATTCTTTTATAAAATGGTTTCAGAGCAAGTACGCAGCCAAAAATAAATTCTTATGCTATTATTAGTTATTAAGGATATTATTATAATTATTTGATTAAAATCATTATTTCGGGGAATAACGTCATCTATTATATGGAAAAAAAAGTTTGAGCGTGGCGTGGGACTCAATCTACTATATCGTATTATAGAAAATATTGTAGACTATTGTAAAAAATAATTAATAGTGCAATTGAAGAAAAATTTTTCATAGTGGAAAGAAATATTTTGGGTGTCTGTAAATTACTAAAATTATAAATAAAAGCAAACTACAAAAATATTTCTTTAAAATATTAGTATTTTAATTAATTTTTTTCTATTATATTGTCAATATAGTATGTTTAAATTCTGAACACAAAAAAAACAATCATTTATAGGAGATTAGATTGGAGACGTAGTCAGAAATATTGTCATGGTGGGGGGAAGCTGAAGAAATGTTTTATATTACTTAATATCTATCTAAAAGTATAATGTTTAGTTAATAATTTGATAATCACAAAAATTTCAAAGGGTCGACTGCAGCCTCATTAGCACTCTGATTACGCCATTGAGGTAAATAATTCTTAGAAGTAGCAAAAATTACTAAATTAGATTTTAATTCATTGAACAAATTTAAAATTATTTAAAATCCTTTATAGTATTCTCATGAAATGAGTTCTAATAAATATGAACGGTATACAAAAGAATTTTTTTATTTAAACGAAGAGATGTAAAGCTGCTTTATAATGAAATTAAGTGTTCATAAAATCCCAATAAATGGATCTAGAGCTATAGAACTTGCATCATTTACGATAGGTATGTCATCCTGGGAAACCCAGGAAGCAAAACATAAAGATTATACTAAAATAAATAAAGGGAAATCCAGTAGAGTTAATACAAATATTGATATTTTTTTATAACATTTGATCCATTGATCACTTCAAAAAGTAAAAAAAAATACTTTCTAAAACTAAATAATTACGTATAGAAAATATTAATATTATATGTGATAATATAGATAAAGAGCATGAAGATCTAATTAATTTCTTAGAAATTACTCTAATTGAGAGTTTTGATAGTTAAAATAGCGATTGAAAAAATTATTATTTTTTATTAAAGGTTATGTATTTTTATTATAAAGACTTGTACTTATTTTTTAAAATAATGTTGTTTTTTGAGAAAAGTATTTCATTGACATTTTGTTAAAAATTATAATAAAATCTTTGTATTTTCACTTTAACGACAGAAAAATATATATATTTCTCATTTTTCCAAGTTTGTTATTTCATTATGAGTTTATAAAAATAAGTGACTTTCTTCCACTGTGGTACGTTTGCGTTGTTCATACCAACATCAAATTCAAGCTTTTATATAATACTTTATGATGTGAAAAAAGAAAATGTATAATTTTATTCAATTCAACTTTTTAAATGTTATAAAAATCTGCCCTATTTTATCCTATAAAATTCAAACTATTGAAATGTACATCAACATTAAAAAAAAAAAAAATCCTACAGTTGTTTTATTAGAAATCAGTCACTAAGTTAAAGATGCATAATTTTTCCTGAAAAAGTTGTTACAGTTAAAAAAAAAAAACACATCATAGTAATATTAATGCTTTCTCAGCTTCACACATCGAAGCTAAAATTAGGAAATGCAAGAACAAATGAAACAATTTATTTTTATAACAATTTTTTCAAACAAATTAAAAAATAAAAACTATTGCTGTATAATAGATGTGTTATGTGTAATAATTATAATCAGTTTTAAGCTATCTGATAGTTTATTTTAGTTCCAAAAATCAAAAGTGGGCAACAAATAATTAAAAGGTTAATTTGTTTAACGTTTAAACTTAACTAGTTAATTATTTTTCTGGTTTACTAGTTTTTAAAAAGACTTAATTAGTCCTAGAAATAACTTAGTTTTTTCAGTTAATTAGATAATAACCATCATGTTATAATAAAGTGTCATAGAAATTTTTGGCTGCATATGTGATTTTAAATGAAAATAATCCAATAAATAATAAAATCTGTGATTTATGTTTCTTGATTAAAAACTATTATACCAAGATAGATAAGCATAAAATATGAATTACATCACTGGGCGCTCTTTGGCAGCTACCACAGGTAACTCATACTACTGAGTGAAATTGCATGTTATCGGTACTATTTAGAGTGTTCAGTAAGTAAGGGAAACA